AATTTCAAATATAATACAATCGGTTGCGCTCACCTAGTTTTACCTGCCATCAATTGGACTTTTATGGCAAATCAAACTGTTATAGTAAATCAAATTGAATACTTCCATCAAAGTAACCCGAAAACAAATAATGTGATCTGAAGGGTAGTACATTATTATAATTATGTGATCAATATGCAGTAGTATGTTTAATCGTTCGAAAAACAGCGTGTAAACCCGTAATTTTTATCCAGTGACATCGCTCCTCAAGAATAAAACATTAGGAGTTTGGACGGTAGTGGATGCTTTGCGTAACACTACATATGACTTCAACAGTTTCCAAATATCCTGGTTTTGTTTCGTCACTCGCATTTTTCTACTTAAGAGTTTTGCATGTTTAATTAGCAATTTTCAAGCAGCCGGAAATGTTACATAACCCCCAGTGACATCAATTAAATTTTGTAAGCAACACAACTATTCTGGGGAAATGGCACAAAAAAAACTGAGATTTCTTCAGGTCTGGAGAAAATTTCCAAAATAGGGAGACTGGGTAGTAATAACGTTGTTGTGACTTCATTGATTACATTTCAAGTTTCATGTATCTATACGGATGGAGAGCTTGCAATTGAAATTCTTAAAAAGGTACTTGTTACATCTCGCGTTTCGACGGTCATATAGACATATAAACATCAAACTATTTTCAGCATCAATGCATCTTTAGATTGTACACGAATAGAGAACCAAAATGGATGACCCATCTTATGTGATATTATTATGGTCATTCGAAAAGCGGTATACCTTCTTCCGAATATTAAAAAGATGTTTCGTTCAGAAATAAACTACCTTGAAGTTACTATGTTCAATATTTCTGGAGTATATCTAGGATCATTCTGATTGATGCCAGTTCACCATACTGGATCCCTATTTGAAATGTGTGCACGTTTATCCTCAAGTCCACTGAACCTCATACTTCTAGAATACTACTTTATTTTCGTCAGTGTTTTATTTCATAAGTAGACCTAATTACTTATCGAATAAATGCCTCCTCTTTATCACTAGAATTTTGAAGGTTGAGGTGTGTGGATGACGATAGAAATTTCTTAAAATAATGAATGGTGCTACACTTTAAGTAAAATTAGATTTTATTTTAAGATACGCCGACAGAAGAATCAACATATTTTGCTGTGGAATAACTTTCTTTGCATGGATTTCTTCTTAATTAATTAGAAGATATAAGTTAGCTAATTGACTAATGTGATACCTACTTCCTACATTAATGAATAAAGATGAATCAAGTTATCTGAAAAGGCACTTAGTTATGATGTAAAGACACTGAGTGATGATCTATGCTCAGTCGTTTACTCAACATCAACATGATAGCAGACAATCTAACGCTAGTGAGACGGGTTGGCAAGGATGTGACGAACACCATTTATATCCTTCGTATATCTTACTCTAGGTGTGGATACTTAGGTGATAAAACAACAAATTCATCCGAAAAACTACTGTAATTCTTCACTGACTTAATGTGTTACTAAGAAGTCATTCATATAGTTGTATGATAAAAACACTTTCTACTTGTATTGTCCTACAGACAGTCACAACGTAGAACTTCGTATGTACGTACATCAGTTCGAGTTGCCATACCACATGCACAGAGATGCAGTTGTCGATTCAAATCCCATAGTGGTAGAAGTAGTAAGAGTATAAGCATTATGTGAAAGATTAGGGTTTGAAGATGTTATTGAAAAAGTATAATCCAGTGAAATAAATTTGAAAAGAGAAAAAGGATAGGGACATAAATTCAGAAGATTAGAATTTGGTAGAACACAAGTCATATGAAAGAAAACCACTAACAACATGGTTGGTGTTGTAGCCACTCAATGCATTCAGGTAGAACAGTCGCATGCTACTACTACATTTCTAGAATTCTTAAGACAAAGCTATTTTAATGTAGGGATGCGAACCACGAGGTAACTGCTGAAACTTCCTTAAGACAGAATCAACAAACAATACTCGATGCAAAAACAGGTATGTCGGTAGTGGGAACGCGGACGTACATCATACTTATGAGTGCAAATTTCTCCGCTGAAGAGCATGTGTTTTGATTGAACTTCCACATTTATTACACAATATTGACAATGATATTAAGACAATACCAGACTTGTTCAGTATTTACTGACCAAGTTTAACATAAGCATGTATATGATCACCTGCTCAGAAGTAATCAAAGTAAAGCCTGTAACAAATGCACATCAACACAAGTCCACATTCCAAATAAGCAAAAAGGGATGGAATAGTTAAGAGGGAATTCATTAATCAGAATGATAATCGTATGAATGATAGTGAGAAAGGCTAAACTTTGGAATGATGGTCAGACAAAAACTAATACACAGGAAAGTACGTAGGAAGGGGGACTAAAATTTAGCATCTAGAGGGATTCATTTACACCACTGCACCTGATTGAGATACCTCACTCAATATATCTGACCATTGACTTTTGTCGTCATGAAGTCTATAACAAAACGGTCTGCGCCTACCGGCCAACAACAACAAAAATTTATGGACACGTAACATGTCTTAATTTGGCGATCCCCAGCACTTATGAAACTTGTTCCTACCTGTCAGCATTGCATATCGAGATTACGCACGGACATTTTACAGCCATAGAGTAATACAGAAAAGACTGTTGGGTCGTACACTCCCCCCGTATATGTCGACAAACAGACTATTCTATGCACCAAGTGATGAAATTTGATAAAAATTAAGGTACCTATCAAATCCATGGGGAGATATCATTGTTAGAAACAAACAACCAGGGCTGATGAGAGTGGAAAAAAAGGGAAGTGTCCAGCTATTTTAAATCATGTAAGTTTACTTACTGACGTAGGTAAGTTCCGAAGCAACACTCCAGATTACTAAACGAAAGCCATTTTAAACCTACTTGAACGACCATTCTAGGGGTCCAAATGACCCAGTATTTTATCAGCTTTTTCGCCAAATAGAATGATCACACCTGCAAACTCTAAATCGATAAGTTGATTCTAATAATAGATGGGATAAATCATAAGAGCACGTTCAAACATATACTGTCCGAACCGCTTATAAGGATAATAAACGATAGCAAGATAATCTGTCCTGTGATATGATGATTACCAAATATTCACAAATGGCTGCAACATACCTGCAGAGAAATTTGCATCGATCGTTGGAAAATGTTTGATACATGCCGTGTACACTGGTTGACCTTCGATATCTCAGTATTTTAATTTTTTTGAAATATGAAAACCAAAATGCAATGAGGTTTTATTTTGAAATGCCGATTTGCGTTTTACAAGTCATGCAGATTGCTTGACTACTGCCAAGCCAGCAGCTGGTAGCATAAATAAATTGGTACAGCTTTTAAGGGTTACCAGATCCAATGACTGCTTTAAACTCCGAAACATACATTGACCACTTAAATTCACAATCTTTAGGCAGGACCTGCGAACATTCCCCAATGCATCAACTTCGGTTTGGTATTACTACCTCACGCAGAATATGGTTTATAGTTAACACAAATTTATACGTCGTAAACGTTTTAAAAAAATCAAGTAACCTACACTATACTCAGAATAGTTGTATGTATCTCTTCACAATAAAGCATATCTAGAGGGCATATGTGGTCTTAAGATAGGTACGTTAGATATATTCACTGATAGCTAACATAAACCAACCTCTAAGAGATATGAGATCATCCGAACGAAAGAAATTTTAACAATTAAGTGTGCGTTGATGGCAATCTGAAAAGTGCATATCACATGCAAACAAACTATATACAGACATGTAGTGCAATAGAGAATGTAAATAATGTTTCCAACAATATATCTGCATAGGAAATAAAGTTCGTAGTTTTCATTGCCTCGACTAACAAAATATTCAGCGCCAAATTTTTGTCATACCATTAGCTTTATTATTGACGAACACTCGTTCAAAATATACAATACTGTTAGCCCACATGAACTGCAAGAAAGCTCGAGCATCAAGCCTAGAGATTCACTTCATGAGGCAGCGAGAGAACGTAAGATGCAGTGCCACAACTGCTCAAGTACACACATCCGCCTCCCCAACCACCAAAAAAATCTTACCAGTACATTTGATACTAGCGACATTACTACTATAGTTAATCTGAAATGAAACCTGTTACAACTGACAACAAACTGGGATCTCAGCAAGGAACATCAAACCGTTGGCTAAAAATTGCTTCAGTTCAAGCACCTGGACAGTATCACAGCCGTCACACAAATCAAATGAGATTTGTATGGCGCATATTTATCTGGTGCTTCCTTGTACCAATATTTATGTGTTTAAATAATAAAAAAATGATAATGGCTAATTACTAGAACAAGATGGGAAGTAACAAGAAATTAGATCATCGTAGTTTAACCACTTCCACCTTGAGGTTGGTATAACCAAACGCTTTTGTATTTCATTCCAGTCGCTAATAGATAGTTGACCTGCTGAATGAGCCAGTCGAATATGAAGATTATGAGATCCTAATAGCTGTGACCGGACATCAGAAATGCAAACAACTTACACAAAACACGTATTCAGTGACTATAGAGTACCAAGCATGGTACGACATAAACCAATATCGTCATCTTTGAAAGTATTGCGGACAACTACCATTTTTTAAAAATTACACTTCGATTACGCCCTTATGTGTAACAGTCGACGCAAGTAACACCAACGATGATAAATTTAGTAAGCAGAAGTTTGGGTGTCGAACCCAACTAGACTTCCTAAGTTTCGAATAACTCACTGAACAAGAATCCCGTAGTATCACATTTTAAGTTACGTGTAGAAACAAAATAAACTTTTAGGCAGACAATATGATTATGATGCATCCTGGGAACATATATAGGGTGGTATTGACGAGTCTAGACATGTAGCCGATACGCACAGCAAACTGAAATAGCATTTATATAGACGAATCTAACATCCAAGGGACAAGCAATTCAAGTAAAAGCAGACAAAAATTTCATAATCCAAATTTGACTTAAATTTTTATTACTTAGCATTTGACAGCGTATACACGAGGAGGGAAGGCACGTGCCTTGCGCATCGAACGCGCAGAATGAATTGACTGTTCTTTTTTAGTAAGCCTTCTGCGTATTGCTCTGGTCTTTTTAGGTCTCAAATCTTTGGGAACATATCTCTTGGAACGATAAGCTTCACGCTGGCGAAGTTTTTGCGCCTGATGAATAACTGTATATACACGAGCAATGGACTTTCTTAGTGTCCGGCTAAAAATGAGTACTTCATCACACTTGGGAACAAAAAAACCTACATTTTCTTCAATTTTCCATGGTAGGATGCGCCTCTCGTTACTCGATACAAGCGAAGATTACCAAGTTCCGTCTTGAGCTCTCCAAGTTGCTTCTGCAGTTCAGGCTCTGGTTTATTACGTAGCTTTGACGCCCGTATCTTAGTCTACAAAATGTACATTATGACTTCACAACGTACCATGCTAACGAATTCGAAAAATCTGCCACTGGAGGAAGATTATCCAAACAAACGATCTGACAAAATTTTATTTTCAAAGTTTGACTTAATAAAGTCAAATAAAGTTCACATAGCCTAAATTGCTAATGATAAAAGTAATATATTCGCTTAATCTCGATGAGTAGAAAAATTAAATTGTACGAGGTGTCGTGATTCAGTATATTCCTTTTTCTTAAAGAATAAGAAAATGAAATAAATTAAACAAAGCCTTAGTAGTACAGACAAACAAAGCCCTTTGCGTGTATTCAATCAAAAACAAATCTGACGAATCCACCGTCATGTCACTCAGGTCAGTGTGGGTTATATGTGTTATACTTTTTAGTTCATGTGTGTTGCGTTCGTTGTATGAAAAGACTGAGTTAAATTTGTCTGTGTTATAACGGTCTGAGATGTAAATGGAGTTAAAAAAGATAGTAAGAATAGATAGTCCGAGTCGAATGGATGGTAAGATCTTTTCTGATAGGGATTGTAGGAATTGGCCATTTATTAGAAAACTTCAGCTACTCTCCTGTCATTGATATTAAAAGAACCAGTTTGTATTATTTTGATGCTTTTACGATGAAAATAATAGCTACTGAAGATTGCATGTACTTCTGTTGTTGATTTAATTCGGAGTACTACAAGTTCCGCAGAATTATTTGGTTTTCAGTGTTTGGTTGCATGATATTCGACTCTGATCAATAGTTCATAAAGTGACTGTGTAATATATCAAGTGTCACAGTTGACATACACTAACCTGTGGACACGGTTCTGTGCTGAGGTAAGGCTTGTCATATTCGTTATACTAACTTTAGCACCTTGAAGGGTGTTTGTTGTTCTGTAGTATGATGTTATTCTGTGATGTTTTAAGTTACGTCGGAATCCTGTCGTACCATGGCGTCATGGCAGAACTACGGTGCTAATACATGAGATCTGTCTAAATGCTACTTTATAATAAGCCACTTCGGTTCGTTTCTAATAATATCTACTTGAAAATGATTGAACTGCAAGATCTTGTCTATATATTTTCTTACCTTTCGCTTTTCCTCCACAGATTTGATAATCTTGTCTGCTCTTCTAAAGAGATATAAAATTAGAGAGAATTTTGCACTGAGCGAGTGCCAATATAACTATGGAGTGAGTTGGTTTACGATAGGTAGTTAGATTTAGAGTTGTACTCGAACTTTTCTTAACTAGCCAACATAAAATTATCGTTCACTGTGTTCATTTTTATTTTCGTAAGTTCATTTAATGTTGAATGCAAGTATGTTGATCATCTTGGTCAAAGCCCTGTGAAATAACTTTTACATGGTTACGAAGACGTCGTCCACATACCTAGGCTGAGTCCATGGTCTGATGTTATTGACGAGAATATTTGATTCTATATTTGTCATGAATAGACTGGTCAAAGTCGTGAAAGCGGTGTATCTCATTTTCACACAGTTGGTTTATTCGTACAATTGAAGTTGATGTAAATTTTGGGACTTCATGACTAAACTAATGCTCAGTATACGTCAACCAGATAAAGTATGTTCATTACCTTTTAAGTTGATAATTAATTCTAGGCGTTGGTCAGAGGGAATACTATTGTAAAAAGTTCATGACCTACCGTTGTTTTGTACTTTTCGGTAAGTTCTACGTCTTAAAATAATAGTTATAAAAATCTTCAATCGCTTTATGTAAGTTGTGCAGAATTCGCTTCAGCTTTTCTCCGAGATATTTAAATGGTAAGTATGTTGAGGTGTTTATGAAGTTCATTATAAGTCATACTTAAATGTTTGATTAATGGACTCTAAATAAACTATACACATGTAATGTGTGGCGCGAGATAGAATTGGAAATAAACTATGCACAGATCCTAGTGAGATTTTAGTTCTTTCAAAAAACAAATTTTCTCAGACTCGATTATATTTTCAACCATCTGAATTATTTCTGGATCAATCCTTTAACACAACTCTGTGGACGGATGTTCTAAAGCTTTACCATCATAATCCTTTTTATTCGCCGTATCAGTTGCATTGCGTTTGTCAGTTTCTGTGGCTAACAGTACTTCTTCCTAATTGGTAAACGGGAGTTTTGGTTTCGTCAACATATGAATCGCTTTTAGATGCGATAATAGACTCATTTCCATAGTGTAATAAGAAGACGAAGATCATTAGAACTATGTGATATATTAGCGCAATACATTTCGAACAATCTGGTCACACATATACTTGTTGAGAATATTTCTATATGAAAATAAAAGGTCAACTAAACGGACAGTTTTTAGGCTGGCTGTGCTAGAACTAGAGCAGATTCCAGGTTGTCAAATGATCTCCTATGTAGATTGAAATTAGACCCTTTATTCAGCAGAATGATTTCGTGGTTGCAAGGTTTCTGTCTGAGAGATTAGGAATAACTCTCATATCATTAGAGTAGGGCGTGTTTTCATGTTATCTTTTAATGGTGATAGCTACCAATTGTTTTCTATTTGAAAGGAGCCAGATTGATACTTTTGTTGTTTATTTATTCCCATCATGGTTTCAGGGCAGTTGGAGCGAGAGGTTATCATTTCAAACGCAAATCTTTCAACATTTAATATAAGATGCTAAGAAATATTGTGCTTACGCAAAATAAGGAATCAAATGAATAATTGAGCCCTCATGCCATGATAACTCCGCCTGTAGCTCTTCTAGAGTTACTGCCGGTCCCAAGCCCGGGTAAAGGAGGAGGGTTGGGCATGGGGTTAGCGACCCCATCCCGTAGAAAAGCTAACTCGCTAAAAAACGCTAACCAGAAAAAATAATTCAAACCATTTAAACTCTGCCCTGAGAGTTGAAGGAATAATCATGACGTCTCATGATGAAAGTCGAAATTCTTCGGAAGTCACGAGGCCGACGCCCCTCTTATCAACAAGAGCAACACTCTTTATAGGTACATGGAACATCCGGACAATGTGGGAGACAGGAAAGACCAGCCAAATAGCAATGGAAATGAGGAGATACAACTTGGCAGTACTCGGAATCAGCGAAACCCATTGGACCCAAGCTGGACAACAAAGTCTAGGTACAAGAGAGATGCTGCTGTATTCCGGTCACGTAGGGGAAAATGCTCCACACACTCAGGGAGTTGCTCTAATGCTGTCCAAAGAAGCACGAAATGCACTTGTGGGATGGGAATCTCATGGACCCAGGATAATCAAAGCATCATTTAGAACAAAGAAGCAAGGGATCACAATGAACGTTATCCAATGTTATGCACCCAACAATGATAGCAACGACGATGATAAAGATCAGTTTTCTGAAAGGCTGCAATCAATCATAGCTAAGTGCTCAGGAAAGGACCCCACCATCCTTATGGGAGACCTAAATGCTAAAGTTGGAGTGGACAACACAGGATATGAAGATGTAATTGGACGACATGGATTGTGAAAGAGAAATGAAAATGGGAAGATACTTGCAAACCTATGTGCATTCAACAAATTGGTTATATGCGGCACAATATTCTCACACAAGCGCATACACAAAGCTACGTGGATCACACCGGATCACACCACAGAGAACCAGATAGATCACATTTGTATCAACCGAAAATTCCGAAGATCAATGGAAGATGTGAGAACCGGGAGAGGAGCTGACATAGCTTCAGACCACCACCTGGTTGTGGCCAAGATGAGAGTGAAGCTAAAGAAACACTGGACAAACAGCACTACAAAGGTTCAATACAGCCTTCCTTCGAGATATTGACAAGCTCAATGAATTCAAGATAACTCTCAACAACAGGTTTCAGGCTCTAAAAGATCTACTGAATGAACAAGAAACAACTTTGGAGGACAACTGGAAAGGGATAAAAGAAGCACCAACTTCAACGTTTCAGGAGGTTCTGAGTGGCAAGAGACATCATCGCAAGGAATGGATCTCTATGGGAACCCTGGACAAGATTGAAGAAAGGAAGAACAAGAGGACAGAAATTAACAACAGCCGAACACAAGCAGAGAAAGTCAAAGCACAAGCAGACTACGCAGAAGCAAACAAGCAAGTGAAGGAAAACACTAAAGCCGACAAGCAGAAATACATGGAAGAACTAGCAACGACGGCGGAAAAAGCTGCAAGAGAAGGGAATATGAAACGACTATATGATACAACGAAGAAATTGGCAGGGATATATAGCAAACCAGAGAGTCCAGTCAAGGACAAAGAAGGAAAGACAATCACTGAGATTCAGGAACAGAGGAAAAGATGGGCAGAATACTTCGAGGAATCGCTGAATAGACCAGCCCCATTGAATCCTCTGGACATCGAAGCCGCCCACATAGACCTTCCTATATCTGTCACTCCACCAACGATCGAAGAAGTCAAGATGGCCATCAGACAAATCAAAAGTGGGAAGGCTGCAGGACCTGACAATATACCAGCAGAAGCACTGAAGTCAGACATTGAAGTAACTGCAAACATGCTTCACTGTCCATTCAAGAAGATTTGTGAAGAGGAACAAGTCCTTCTGGTGATTGACTGGATTGTGAAGACTTCGACATCTGAAAGGAAATACGGAATACAACGGACTTCTCAGAATCAATTAGATGATTTGAACTTCGCGGATGACCTAGCCCTCCTCTTTCATACAAACGAACAAATGCAGATGAAGACCGCAAATGTAGCAGCAGCCTCCGCATCGATAGGCCTCCACATTCACAAAGGAAAAAGCAAGATTCTCAAATGCAACACAGAGAACACCAACCCAATCGCACTTGATGGCGAAACCCTGGAAGAGGTGGAAACATTCAAGTACCTGGGAAGCATCGTTGATAAACAAGGAGGATCGGATGCAGATGTAAAGGCGAGGATTGGCAAAGCAAGGGCAGCATTTTTACAATTGAAGAACATATGCAACTCAAAACAACTCTCAACCAAATTCAAGGTCAGAATCTTTAATACGAACGTCAAGACAGTCCTACTGTATGGAGCTAAAACGTGGAGAACTACTACGACCATCATCAGGAAGGTACAAGTATTTATAAACAGTTGTCTACGCAAAATACTCAACATCCACTGGCCGGACACTATCAGCAACAGCGTTTTATGGGAGAGGACAAACCAGCTTCCAGCTGAAGAGGAAATTAGGAAAAGATGTTGGAAGTGGATCGGACATACATTAAGGAAATCATCAATGTGCATCACGACTCAATCCCTAACTTGGAATCCGGAAGGGAAGCGGAAAAGAGGAAGGCCAAAGAACACACTACGCCGGGAAATAGAAGCCGATCTGAAAAGGCTGAATAGTAACTGGAAAGAACTGGAAAGGAAGGC